ACCGCTCCCCCCCCCCCCCATGCCAGGCCACATGCCAGGCCACATGCCCTCACACTGGCAGGGTGCTTTTTCCTATTTCATTTTTTTTCATTGTTAGCCCATTCCTCAACAAGTATATAGATGTCCCCTTTGTATCCAAAGAAGATTTAAAATTATTAGGACACAGATGTTTTAGTGTAAACAAAAGACAATTTATTTGACGCTGCTTATTTCTTCTACACTCATAGACATTTGTTGGGGAGAAAAACCCAAAATGCTTTGAATGTGTAGATATTTGTGCATATTGTAAAATATTCAACTTAAAGAAAACTGTACAACCAGTAGTTTCTATGATATGCTAGACAAATAACAGAAAGGTATGTGTGGTTGCACAATAGTTATTTTATTATTAAAAACAAATGAAAAAAATGTGGACATTTTGTTTCAATGAATGTGTACATTTTTCTTTTGTACCTGAACTCTCTATCAACCTCTATGCTTTGATTCATCTTCCTACCTACTTTAAGCCCAACTATTGAAATATTTATTTTACCTGTATAGATTGGGGAAGGGTAAAGGTGCCCATACACTGCTCGATTCTCGTACGAGAATCGGGGGAAATCCCGCGATCGTACGAGAATCGAGCAGTGTAAACGAAGACGTGCAGTGTAGTGTAAACAAAGACGTGCAGTGTAAACGAAGCATGCTCGAAAACCCGCCGAGAATCGTACGATTGTCGGCCGGTTTCTAGCCTGCTCATTCTGCATTGCGGTCATCGGAAGCCCACCCCTCAGCGGGGCGGGCTTTCGATGATCACAAGTACGATCTGACTGACCAAGATGGGCAGATTGTACGAGCTTTTAATAAGCTTACGACCATCGCAAGACAAAAGTCTTGCGATGGTCGTAAGGTGTATGGGCACCTTTAGAGCTTCAGTCAGGTTAGTATTGTTGTATGTGCCTCAGCTGAAAGTTTTCCCCTCACCTTTTGTCAGGATAGGAGATTATTAAGGGGGGGAGGAAATGATAAATGCACATGAAAAAAAAAAACTGTTTTCTTATGGAAACCCATCAGCTTCTCTCCTCAGTTTGTTCAGTTAAAGGGTTTCTAAGCCCTCCATTTTATTTGCATATATCTACTGCTAGCAAGCAGTAGATATATGCATAAAGTTTATTTTTTTTGAACCAAAACGCTTTAACAGCGGATTAAACTTACCCTGTCTTCGCCGCGCGCTCCTGTCAGAAAATCCCAAACTGCTCGGGCGGCCGCAAAGCATCTTGGGGCGGGCGCATGCGCAGTTTGGATTTTCGGCCGGGAGACTTACGCATGGTAAGTCAATGGACGTATGCACCCGCATGCAGACACCGAGTGACAGGAAGTACCAGCAAAGACAGAGGAGTCAGCGCTGGATCAGAGAGCCGCCGCACCGCTGGAGGGACAGATGAAAACATCAGGAAAGAAGAAGATCGGATTAGGAGACATAATTTAAGGTAAGTGCTAACATTAACATTGTGGAGAGGGGAAACATTTTGACTTTAACCTCCCTGGCGGTATTCCCGAGTGTAGCCCGGGGTTACTTTTCCATACCATAAGCGGTAACCCCGAGCTACACTCGGGAAAGCCGCATAGCATTTACTTACCTTTACTTATAGACGCCCGAACACTTGTATGTTTTCGTTTCAAGCTGATTTCCCGCTTGTGCACGCCACCTAGCAGCGGGCACAAGCGGGGCGGGAAGGTACGTTTAAAAACGCCCACCCGCATCCAAGAAGCCGATGTCTGGCTGTTTAATTACAACGTCTGAACAGCAGGTGGTTAACTATTAAGTATGTTGAATGGGGGCTATCTGCACACACCACTTGGGTAGTCTTCCAGTATATAGATATTATTGTAGTGTATTGTAGCAGGTGCATCAAACATGGTTAACAGCCTCAATAATGCTAGTCCCTAAACACGTATGCAATGTACAACAACAGAATGTCAATCTTCTAAATGCAACAAAAAAATCTGTTAGATGTACAGTACCTTATGTACAACATTTTGTTCAAAACTAAACATTATCTATATTTGAATCTTTGTAAGTTGTGGAAAGCATCTAAGATTCATGAAATTGATTTTTTTTTTCAAATTAACAAGGAAAAAAAAAGCACACGCCATACATTAAGAGGTAACTTACCATTACATACTGGCATAAAGTAGACGGTTATGGAAATAACTACTGTTACTGTAATTGGACTGATAATTCCAATAGAAATAACTGTGGTTAAATTGTTAAGGCTGAGTATGTACAGTAGTATGTAATATTCTTGGTGATAAGTGTAATGGATTATTTACTGCAATGCACATTAGTAGATATTAATTGGCAAACATACCGCAAGATGTAATTGGAAATTTGTATATGTAATTACTGGTTATTAGATCGTATGAGGTTTTGAAGAACAATCAAAATCATTCCTGATTTCATTTTTTGGCTGGCATCTCTTTCTTCTCCTTAAGATAAGAAGCAAATTACTTCACTATTCTCTGTATTGTTTTTAATGTTTTAATCGTTCAGAGGTAAACTACTTTCTTGAACTAGCACCTTCCCTTGGTTTTTAACCATTGTAACTCTGAACCTTGAACCCTGATTAGCAATTGCATGTCTCCTCTCTAAAGGTGCCCATACATCTTACGCTTATGGGACAAAACTTTTCGTCCGATGATCGAGGCCCCATCCTGCCCCGATTATTGCAAGGTTCAATTAGTGGTAGTTAAAAAAAACACCTGGACGACTTGCGGTAATTGACCGAAACTATTTTCGTTTGCGCATGCACGGTGTTAATCGTATGACTTTTGACGGACGGAAACGCCACCAACCATGCGAACATCGTACGATCGACCAAAGTTTTCAAACATGCTTGACTGCCAAAAGTCGTACGATTGTACAGTACTATCGGTCGGGCACTCTATTCACACGTTACCATTGTCGTACGAAAAGTCGATTGCATACGATTATCGTACCAAAACTGCTTGTTTTCCTCTACAGAAGCTAAATCCAAATATCTCTTGAATGCACAGTGGCTTAGTGGTTAGCGCTTCTGCCTTGCAGCCCGGGGGTCCTTGGTCAGGACACTATCGGCAAAGAGTTTGCATGTTCTACCTGTTCTTGTGTGGGTTTCCTCCCACACCCAAAAAACATGCTGGAAGGTTAAATGGCTCCTGTCTCAATCAGCCCTGTATGTATAAATGTGAGATATGGACCTTAGATTGTAAGCTCCTCGAGGGCAGGGACTGATGTGAATGTGCAGTGCATAAATTCCCGGTGCTATATAAATACTTATAATGAGGTACATATTAAAAAAATATCCAGGCAAACAGTGTCAAGGTCAGAAATAGAAAACCATACCCATTGCTTGCTTTAATGCAAGAAACATGGCTGACTCTCACTCTTTACATGCTGCTATCTTTGCTTGGCCTGCTGTCTTTCTCTTTGGGCCTGCTATCTATCTAAATCTAAACCACAGCCAGAACCATAATCTCTCTATGGACAATACTAGAAACAGGAGAAAGTTTTCCCAGATTGTTCTCTGCTGAAGTAATGGATCAGAGCTAAGATTGACTAATTCTCCTTTCACCAGAGATTATGGAAACAAAATTATTGTTTTTGTGGGGTTTTGATTGTGTGCATGGCACTGGAGAGAACTCGAAGTAGCATTTTCAACAGTTAAAATGCAACTAACCCCAAAACTCTCTTTTCTAGTTTTGTGGAGAGGAATTAGAACACCTGTCAGATTTTTATTGGTGTCTACATCCCTGTTAGGGAGATTCACCCTTGCTATTTGTCCTGGTCACCGTTATCACTTTTCAACAGTTAAAGTGCAACTAACTCCAAAACTCTCTTTTTTAGTTTTGTGGAGAGGAATTAGAACACCTGTCAGATTTTCATTGGTGTCTACATCCCTGTTAGGGAGATTCACCCTCGCTATTTGTCCTGGTCACCGTTATCACTGAAAGTAAAAGAAAATCCCAAATTTTGGTTTGTCACCAGAACAGGAATGGATGGGAAATGTTCCAATAGGGACACTAGTTTTTGGCAGCCCTGCTGACCAATAAGGATTTTTCTCTTTTTGGAGGCATTACCTCTCATTTCCTGTTGTGGCTGTTGGACAGGAAGTAAAGGGAAATCTCCATAATGGGATACAACTGGCAAAAAAAGGTGACAGGGGTTATAACTCTCCCTTACTGCATTCAAAACTAAGAAAAAAAGTTTTGTCTTCAGTTCTACTGTAAGCTATTTCAGCAATTATTTTACTCTTTACGTAAATGTAAAAACCTGATATTTTAGCATTGACTTACCAAACCAGGTTCTTATTTATGTGGGACAATGTTACCAGTAAATATCTCTGGAACTGCTGATATACGATATAGTACTTGCATGCATACAAACATATAAATCCTTTTTTTCTCATTTTATGTTTAGGACAAGAATGTCCTTTCTGTTGTGATGATTGATAAAATGTTGGAAAAGTTCAAGAAGTCTAATGAGTTATTGGAGCTGATTTTGAAAGGACTTAATGACTACCTAGAAAAAAAACGTTTATTCTTTCCACGATTCTTCTTCTTGTCTAATGATGAGCTCCTTGAAATTTTATCAGAGACAAAGGACCCAACCAGGTAGGTTATATTATATATAACCTTTACTGTAATTATGATTTTGTAAAAAGCAGACAGGCTTCCATAAACGGTATAACATGCTAATATTTGTATACATTTAAATTTAGCTCAGTATTTGGAGCTATCATTTCTTAAAGCCTTAGTAAGTTTACAGTGGGTTTTGCACAATTTTGGGCACAGGTTTGTGGTAATGTTCTTTATATGATTACTAATGTAAGGTTAAAGTTTCCAAAGTCTTTCACGAATCCTGATAAACAAGAGCTGGCAGCTATGTGTCACACAGTTCACAATGTCAATTATATAAATAAGACACTTTGGTTTGTACTGTACATTATGGTAGGAAAGTCTTGTAGGTGCATACCTGTATTATTCTATTGCTGCAACTTACATGGTTGACTTCAGACATTTGCATTGTGAGATGTTTTAAATGTATAATATGATCAAATACATAATTATTTATTGTTTAATCTGCTAATGCTGGTAATTACTATGACTCCTTTATACAAGAGTTCTTGTGGTACTCTACTTGTTATACAGTATATGTTACAGTATATTTATCTGACCATCTTAACTGTCTGGATCACACCATGATTAAAGGCACATATGAGGATTTCAGTATTCACACAAACATCGATAGGTGACAAGGATGTGATGAAGGAAAATTAGATGACCTCTGGAATATATAAAATCAAGAAAAGAAACTATAAGGCTAATTTACTAAAGGAGTTGCAAATCTTCACACACCTAATTCTTTAAATATTCACTTTAATTATCCAATCATGTTAAAGTAAATTCCTGTCTACTTCTGTGCAAGATTGGTAAACAAGTAAACAAGAAATTGCTTTTCACATGATTGCATACCTGAAAAAAACTTTGGAGGTGTTTTGTGTTAATGAGAGGAGCTCAGTTTGACCCAAATAAATTGCTAAAAGGTAAGAAATATTTTTAAAAGTAATTTTTTGGGTATGCTATGTAAATAGGAACACATACAAAACATACAGTGGGGAATTTGACTGCAAAAAAGGAACTAAACGTTTAAACTGGAACAGCCTGTGGCTAATACTAGTGCTGTTCCTAGTCTGGGATTCTTAAAAGGCCCCAAAACTATCAACGTTTACATTACACTCCTTGCTTGAACCTACTCTGTATGCAGACTGGACAAATCCTGATAAGATATTTACTGATCAATATCCGTTTATTCAGGCGTTTATTGAGAGGCGATCTACACATGTGGATCTCACCTTAATAAAATATTGAATGTGCCTATTGAGGATGCACCAGTTTTTAAGGATCCTGCTCAAAAATGTCTGGAAATCCTTTTCGAATCCTTGTTTTCAGTAGCTGGACCTGCTATGCAACTTTAAGTAGCCGTTATGTTTATTTGTTAAACCTTAGGGGAATGGACTAAGAATTTGTTGAAGGATCTAGCTACCATCTTTACTGATGATTTAGCTGCATAACACTTAGAACTTATGCCTGTAGCCTTACACTATAGATGTCCATCTTATTTTCTGAAATAGTATCCTGTCTATGAATATAGAGAATTCTCTGGGACGTTTTTGGTGTTAAGAGTAATCATTTTCCATTGCAGAAGACGCCTAAGCCTCAATGTGGGAAGGCTACTCCCACCTCTGAAGCAAACCCAAACCAAGGGTCCAGTTAAATTGGAGATCTTGGGCCTCTAAATCAAAATCCAAACCTACAGAAAAATCCTCTTCGGCATGTGATGCCCCCACTTTCCAAAGTAGGGGGCATCTGTCGGCTTTTGTGGACATCTGGTTAGAAAACATTCCAGATACCTGGATAAGAGAAGTCATGTACACAGGCTACAAGCTAGTGTATAATTCTCTACCTCTGCTTCATGTTGCCTAACTTACCTGCGATCTCTACACAGGCTAGCAGACTTCCATGATGCTGTGCCAGATCTTCTGAGCAAAGGAGTCATTTCCATTGTTCCAATGGCAATTTGTTTACTAAAAACCTGTTCACTGTTCCAAAACGAAAGGGGGGCATTGGTGCCATCTTGATTCTGAAAGCCTTAATTGTAAAGTCTTCATTTAAATGCAAAAGTTTTGCAAGGAATTCCCAAAGTCTGTCATAATCTTCACTTTTATTACGCATCCAGGGCATTATTATTGTGGGTCACCTGGATGTTCTCCTAATGAGGGAACAGATGGCTCAAACTCTGATGTAGTGTGGATAGACCTTAAAAAGGTTTAGTTGGACCCTGAACCTTTAGAAAGTGGTGCTGGCACTGACGCATTGCTTGGAGATGTGATGTCATCGGGACCTAACTGGCACGTTCTGCATACAGGTTCTCTTGGTTTTTGCAAAATACTAAAATAGGAGGGTAAATCTCCCTAGTAGAAACACCAGGAGCAGTAAAGACCTTTATAGACTTTAAACTATACATTGTCCATGGTCCTGATTAACAGGGTTTGGTTTATTTAAGCAATGTCATGTAAAATAAACCAGTGTTTCTTTAAAACATTCAGTCATGTGCAGTGGTTCCCATTTTTAAATCCTCTTCACACAGCAACATTAGATGTTGATCCAAAACAGATTATCTTCTGGTTAGTGCTGTAGCCTATAAAGCACAGTGGTCACAGCTGCTAAATAGTTCACAATGTAAAGGTTGTCACAATCAATTATGGATTGACAAAATCAACTTGAAATATTTAACCTTATTTAATTTATTGGCTGCGTCAGATTCTTACAGCTCATGCATAGAATAAAGGCTGTGAGCAAAGTGCTCATAGGAATTTACATGGTGGTGGAATGATATAAGATGTAGGGGAACTGAAAAATGTTCCCAATGAAATTTTTTTTTCATATGTCATAATTGAATATGTCATATCTTTCTATATTTGCTTTTTATTTCATTTTCTACAGGGTACAACCCCACTTAAAGAAATGCTTTGAAGGTATAGCAAAAGTGGTGTTTACAGATGTCTTGGACATTACTCACATAAAAAGCAGTGAAGAGGAGGTGGTACAACTGATAAATACTATTTCAACATCCAAAGCCAGAGGTCAAGTTGAAAAGTGGTTAGTTGAACTTGAAACTGCAATGATTCAGTCTGTCCATAAGGTATGTATTTCTTTGTACTTAATCCACAGATAAGATACCATAAATGCTTTTTTTTTGGCAAATGTGGGAAATAGATGTCTAAAGACTATACTCAGCTGCTCTAATTAATACCTTCTTATAATATTTGCCAGCAGTAGGTTTAGATTTTAAATTATGTTTTTGGGAAACTCCACTAACTTCCTGTCCCAGTGCCAGTGGTACAGGAAGTACGGGAAAATCTCACTTCTGAAGACTCGACCCGAAGTAAAAACCTCACAAATCCTTATAGGATAGGATGTGTCCTCTGCACTGCTAGCTTCTGATTAACAGTAGTGAGCAGTGACCAATTAAAATGTTTGTAAATTTTTTCCACTTGAAATGTGTGCAATATTTAATAACGCAATAGAACAGGTTTTACAGTAATATTGAATTAAGCGTTGCTGGTTTATATGATAGTTTATATGATCGTTTTTTATTTAGAGGAACGGGCAGTTATTGGATACTTATTTATATCGGTATTTCTTTATAAGCTGTCTACCTGTGTCTTCATAGGAGCATGTTAAATGCCGGGTATTTGGAAGTTATGTAAGAGCTATACTTTTATATTTTTACAGTACTTAGTTTATTTAAAATTCAAATTCAGATCAAAGTTTTGATATCTTGTGTGTTAATGCACCCCTACTGTATTGTCATCACTTTGCCATAGAATGCATTCACACTGATCAAAGTAGAATACATGTGGATGCAATTCTACTTGGTTGTATGCTGTAGGCTTCATTGACTTTTACAACTTTCCTGGACAATTCTTAATAGGCGGAGTCATAGAGCTATAGTATATGAGCAGATTGTTTTAAACTATCAAAATTAGATGTTTTATATGTTTACTATAATCTAAGTACTTTTAATAAAAATTAAAGTTTAAACTTATTGAAATTAAATGTTTTATTAGGTCATTGGTGAAGCAATTGATGCTTACCCCAAAACAACCCGTATAGACTGGGTAAGGGAATGGCCAGGGCAGACTGTACTGTGTGTTTCGCAGTGCTTCTGGACACAGGAAGTTCAAGTATCTATTAGGAAAGGTCAAAAGGTAGGTTTGTTTGTCTGTGATGATTTGTTTTTTTATTTGTGCAAACAAACTGTATAGTTAATGCATTGTCTGTTTCCAACAGAAAATTATTAGCAAGCATTGGAAATAGAAATGATACAGCTATTGTAGAATGTAATTAAGCGATAATTTGTGTATACATATTTTTCTGTCCTTCCATTTTGTATTAACATATTATTTAAGGATCTATACTCTAAGCACAGAGCATAGTCTAAGCGTATTTACATTTCTTTCTGGCTAGAAATGTAGTTTGTATAAAGTAAAAGTACCATATGAATCACAGTGAATTCTCGGCAGAATCCAGTAGAGAGTTGCTCTAAATATAGAGTTGATGAAATTATGTGAGTAGGGTAATTTAAATAAAGTACCGCTTAATCATTTGTACTCCAGAGCTGTTTTCATTTTATAGCTATAGGCCTATTAATTCAGCAATATATCTGTTTTAACTTATGATACAGAAGTAAGGTATGTATTTTTTTTTTTTTGGTTTGGGGGTGCATGTAGCAGGTGAACTGTCATTAAAGATTTGTATCGTTTTGGCAGGATCTGGTTGATTTAAAGGAAATAACCTGTTGGGTTCAGTCCCAGTCTATTGGCCCACTACTCTGTGCAGGTCCTTGTAGGGGATTAAAGAGTAGCCAACCTGCGAGTATATTTGATGTGAGGAAGAGTATAACCTAAAGTCTCGGTTCCTGGGCTGAAGAAAGAGCCAACTATCCAGAGGTGGGGAAGCAGGAGGGAGGTGGTAGAGGGGACAATTAGGAAAGGGGATATGACAGTCTAATCATCTTGGGTAGTGTAAAGGGGGTGGGATGATGAAGGGATTGAGGATAAAGAGGTGGTCAGGTGAGAAAGGTGGGGATTGGAGGTGAAAGGGTCCTGGCTGGGCATGTCTCAAGTATAAGGTGTAGCCTTTGTGGGGGTGCTGGTTTAAGATTAAATGCCACTTAGGTGCACCATGTGGGCCCTAAGGTGTTAAGGTGACCTTTCTAATATTGAGACCTCAAGGGAGGATCGGGGGTTAAGATGGTAATACGGAAGAAGGCAGCACTATATAGTGGAAGATGAGTTATGGTGAGCCAGAACCAATATGTCAAAACCATGTTACATAGTTACATAGTATTTGAGGTTGAATAAAGACATTAGTCCATCAAGTCCAACCTATTAGGATCTCATTCTAGAAAAGAAAAAATGCTAAAAAGAGCAAAGAGAAGAAGTTATTACGTCTAATCAAGTGTAACAAGGGTTAAATAGGATAGATGTTTATTCAAAAGCAGAACCAACATTTTTAACCAACATTTTTTTTCTACTTTCGGGGTTTATCCTTTGTAAAAAAAACACAGATTGGTTTTTTTAAACTGCATTTCGTTTTTCTGACCAGTAGCGTAGCGAGGGGGGCGACTGTCCTGGCCGAAAAAAAAATTTAAACCTGCCCAAATCCCTTACAACCATTGAACGACTTTCGTTGTGCGATGGTTGTAAGTTCATTAAAATATATAAAACATGGACATGTGTCTTTTTTTCAACCTGACTAACTATAACAATTTCATACGACCTGCCCATCTTGGACAGACCGCTGAGGGGAGGGCTTCTGATGATTGCAGTGCTGAGCGGGCAGTGTGCGCTTGCGCACATCGGCCCATGTGGCATTCGTCTTCTGAACACGCCACCAACCCGCCAATACGATAATCGGCAGGTGTATGGGCACCTTTAGTGTATGTGTATATTAGGCCCCATTCACACCTACAGTATATTTCAGGTGTGATTAGAGATTCCTGTGCCAGGAACTTGCGTTTTCCTGCAGCAGGAATCCCTAATCTGCCGTTTACAAGCGGCAACTATCATACAATAAGAATTATCATGAGATTATTTAAGAGGGTGTGTTTATGGGCGGAGTTAAGGCCAGGGCAGGGTAAGGGTTAGGTGGGGCAACTGGTGGCTGGTAACTTTTGAGGCCTGGCTAGTAGCTCAGGACTTGAAATTAACTGATTAATTTGAATTTTGTATGTTGACCCATTCATTGTGACACATTGAAGTGTGTCTTCAAAAGGCAAGCGTTGCATGTTGTTGCAGGCCTCTTTGTTTTACAATAGGGTGGCTAAAAAGGCATAACCCAAGTATGTATCTACATATGATAGTATATTACCATGGCATTTATTTACCAATACGAGAATATTGTTTGACAATTTGTTTTCATTTTCTCTTTTACAAAAACAGGCACTTGAAGATTACCTGGAACAAAATAATAAACAAATTGATGATATTGTTACCTTGGTTCGTGGAACATTATCAAAGCAGAACAGAGTTACGCTTGGAGCACTTGTTGTTCTAGACGTGCATGCTAGAGATGTCCTTACAGCTCTTGTGAAAAAGCAAGTTAGCGATGAAAATGATTTTGAATGGTTAAGCCAGCTAAGATACTATTGGGAGGTATGTTAAGAATTACTCTCCTTTTTTCATTTGACATTTCTAGTATGATTAAAAATAACATTAACACTTGTACTTGTAATGATCCTTTCTAAAACATAACAGAACAACAGAAAACAAAACATAATTCCAAGTAATAGAAAGTAAGTGGGCACAGCCTGCTTTGCTGATAACCTGCATGTATATCCGCAAGAGGCTAATGCAGGGGTAGGCTGGGTAGTGATGGGATTTGTAGTTTTACCACAGCTGGAATGCCAAGGTTGCCTCCTCCTGGGCTGATTTTTTGAGTAGAATGCAACAAAAGTAGTGTGGCTCCCTTTGAAAACACCAAGTACATTATAAAGGGCACAGGGCTCCACACTTACTTGCCCTTAAAAAGGATGTGCACAAATAAAGCAAAAAAGTTATCTAAAAATGATGAACATTTCCCTCATCCTTCTTTCAGTTTTTATTTGATAGGAAACTACAAATAACTATTCGTTTTCTAGTCATTTTGTCTTTTCCCTCAGATACCAGGCTAGGATTTTAGTGAGAGTTTAAAAGAATATCCAGCATTCAAATGGTAACGTAGGCATGGGAACAGAGCAGGCAAACTGCTGTTTGAGTGCATTTTATTAAGTTTGCTCATCTCTAGTCACCATTTTTTTTATTTGTAGAAGTACAGTATTTACTGAAAGTCTTTTAAATGACTGTAATGATTATTCCAGACTGTTACTTTTGTTCCAAGAAACATTCCACACACAATTATACCACCACCATCAGTCTGAGCAATTGACAAGTCAGAATTAAAGGAGAACTACGGGGTCAGGGCTTTTCCCCATAGTTCTCCTTAGGGTAACGGGAGGACACAAACTAGCGTCCTCCCGTCACTCTAAGCTCAGTATACCGCGAGCTACAGCTCGCGGTATACTGAGACACCGGAGCGGATCCCGACATCGATGTCGAGATCCGCCCAGCTGCGTGAGTGACAGCTGGCTCTGCCTATGTATAGGCAGAGCCAGCTGTACCCGCCTCCTCCACCGTCCGTTCCGCCAGTCACCAGAGAGCTGTGACAGGATCGAGAAGTAAGCGAACACCGGTATGTGTTCGCTCACTTACCGATCTACTGAGCCGACCTGTGACAGTCTCATTGTCACAGGTCGGCTAGAACTATGAGGTGAGTGAAAAGCACCCGCCTCAAAGTTCTCCTTTAAACTTCTTATGAGCATTCTGTGATTGAGAAAATTGTCTATACTTTTTTTCTTTCCAGGATGCATATTCCATGTTATGCATGCAGTCTAGTCTTCACCTTAATAAAAAAAGTCATAATAAAAGCTTGTTTACAATACAAGACAAGCTGTGTATGTATACCAAAGAAGTGGTTGAAATAATCAAGATATAGTTGATGTGTAAATGTAGCTGTTTGCCTTGAGCTGTCTTGTTATTTCACAGCCATTTGACTAATAATTGTCATCGTTATCATCATCATTATCATCATCATCATCATCATCGTCATCATCATCATCATCACTAGCATTGAGAGATGTGATAAAACAAATGTTTATTAATATGCTTTTTTATCTATAGGAAGGTCACTTTCAGACAAAAATGATCAATGTCGATAAAACAAATGTTTATTAATATATTTTTTTTTTATCTATAGGAAGGTCACCTTCAGACAAAAATGATCAATGCCGGTTTGCAGTATGGATATGAGTATCTTGGCAATACACCTAGATTGGTCATCACTCCTTTAACGGATAGGTGTTACAGGTACAGTAAAAGACCAGTTTGTCTTTATTTACTGGAATAATATACAGTATAAAGTTAAAAAGAATTGCTTAAAATACACTAGGGGATGAAACATTTAGTTAAATATTGATAAATTTGAGGACTGGTAAAAAAAAACATTTAATCCGGTTATGTGATTAATAATTTTTTTTTTTAATTTTCGTTTTACATAGAACTAGCAAAAGTATCTGAAACTGCCGTAATATCAGCCTATCCTGACTGATAGAGGGAGGGTCAGCCCTTTTCGCCATTAAGGTGTCTATTGTTTTCTGGTGACATGTTTAAAGGAAGAAATAGAACAGGGATCACCTACTCAATCTGCTGCTGCCTATCATTGTCTAGTCAAAAGCTTTATATGTGTAAAAAAAAAATCCACCCTCCTAGAAGGCATTGCTTGGTGCCTGAGCAGCCAGTAAAACGTTCTGAGTACCCTCAGATGGGGGGTATGCTTTCCAGTGTGCAAACATGGGGATGTGAGGTGGCAGGTAAGTACTGGTTAAAGGAAAACTATGGGGTGAGTGAATTACACTCATCCCTATAGTTAGAGCCGATGTGTGACATTAAAATTGTCACACCTCAGCTCTATTGAAACTGTCCCACCTCAGCTTTATTGATCTGGAAGCAAAAACATACTACCAATCCCCTCACTTCCCGATCATTCATGTCGGTCACTGCTCTCCGCAGGGATTCCTCCCTCCCCAGGGGGGGGGGGGGGGGGAAGGGTTGCCCCCCCCCCGAGGGGGGGGGGGGGAGGTGGCGGACATAGCTGGCTCTGCCTCTAGAAAGGCAGAGCCAGCTGTCAATCAGCCAGCTGGGTGGATCTCAACAATATTGTTGGGATCTGTCCCGGCTGTGGCGCTCTCAGCATATAGGGGGCAATAGCTGAGTTTTGAGTCACAGGAGGACACAGTATATGTCCTCCTGTGACCCAAAAAATACTATGGAAAAAAAAGCTTTGCCCCAACGTAGCTCTTTTAAGTTAGGACCCTCTATAATACCTAGAGGGGAGTTTTAGTGTTTATTTTTTTTTGTTAGAGGCATGTTTTTTTTAACTGCAGCATAGTCTTCAGGTAGTTCCAGCCACTCACATATCTGTATACGTTATGAATTATTTATGTGGAACTGAATAGGTAGACAAGGCTTGAATATCTCCCTAAAGTATTTGTTTCTTCTGTAATATGTTTATTCTGTAATGTGACAAAACTATAGCTTATAGTTTTATAGGCATGGGGGAAGTGGTAAAAAAAAGATTTGCACTATAGATGGGCTATAACCATGAATCTGAATATATAAATATAGGAAAACCAATACATACATGGGCTGAAATAGAAAATTAATAAACCATGAAAAGTCTGGTTTTCCAAATAATTATTTATATGTACAACATAACATCGATATGATCTATGGGTAGATAGATATATGATTTAATTTTACAATATTGCTCATGTTTGAATAATTTTGATGAATAGGAGCTTACAAATAAAGAAAAGCCTGTGCTTTAATGTGTTTCTGTCAAAAACAGAACTTTGTTTGGTGCCCTCAACCTTCACTTGGGTGGAGCTCCTGAAGGACCTGCTGGTACAGGAAAAACCGAGACTACCAAGGATTTGGCAAAAGCAGTGGCAAAGCAATGTGTTGTTTTCAACTGTTCTGATGGATTGGATTACCTTGCTTTAGGAAAGTTCTTCAAGGTACATTTTTAATGATAAAGAAATGCTTTAACATTTTATCACCAAACCATTATGCATAGCTATTTACTAAATGCGCTAAAAGGTTCTAACTAAGTCATTGGAGCCATATGGTTCATTATGTTTTATCTTAAAACTATCCAAAAGAATATATAGCCCCAGTGCAAGTGCGAAATTCTCTGTCACCCAAGGCAAGGATACTAAACTCTGTCTCCCACTTCGAGCTAAGAGGGATTGTGTTTGCTTGTCTGCATGTACAGTGGCTGGGTGTAAATCACAGCTTCTGTCCTCTGGCCCAATGGTTGCCACCTTTTGGCCTGTGGAAAATTTAGTTAGGTGGGGTGGGGGGTTGTTGTGATGTAGCTAAATTGGCTTAATTGAGTCATAATTAGCACAAAGAAACAGAGCCAGATTTTCATTAACAATATAATAACCACATTTTGTTCTTCAGTCTCATAGCCAAGGTCACTTTGCACATTTTATTCTGTAATTTTTCCCTTTAGCAAAGGCACTAACATTATGTTTCATCGCACTATGAAGTTATTTATAAATGAAACAGAGGCTTCTTTTAAATGTTGTGAATTTGTTAATGCAGCACTGCAAAAACTAACAATAACACTCTTTTAAATAAAGCTAAAACTAACCTTTTTTTATATTTTTAATATATATTTTCTAGGGTTTGCTTTCATGTGGAGCCTGGGCTTGCTTTGATGAGTTCAATAGAATTGATTTGGAGGTACTGTCAGTGGTTGCACAGCAAATCCTCACCATCCAAAGAGGTATCTATCTATCTACTGTATCTATCTATCTATCTATCTATCTATCTATCTATCTATCTATCTATCTATCTATCTATCTATCTATCTATCTATTATATCTATCTATCTATTATATATATCTATTATATTTATCTATTATATCTATCAATATTACTGTTTTTATAAAAAAAAATTTTTTCCAGGTATCGCCACGGGATCTAATTTATTAGTATTTGAGGGCACAGAATTGAAGTTAAATCCCACATGCGCTGTCTTTATCACCATGAATCCTGGCTATGCAGGACGGTCAGAGCTCCCAGACAATCTTAAGGTATGCTGCATATTTTGTTGTTTGTTAGTTACAGGGTTCCTTCCAAAAAATTATTCCTTTTTTAAAATGAAAAAGAGTTCTTTACTAAAACAAACAGAAAAAAACAAAGTTACTGAAGATGTGACCAGATGATTTTAGGGTATTGCACTGTATCTTCTTATCACAGTAACTGTGTACTGACAGGTGTCATGTTTGCTTTAGGAACAAAATGCAGTACACTGCTGTTCTGGGATCTAGTTTAAAAAAAAAAAGCTATGTGTTATTGGTTGGTAGATAATAGCAATACTGTACAGGAACTTACCAGGAATAGAATGGGGAGCTCAAAGTAGTACTAAACTTTCAAACGTTTTTTCAATAATAAACCAGATCAAACAAAAAAAAATTGTGTAAGTGTTTGGGCATTTTTTTGCCCAAAACTTTAGTCATCATGTTTCCTAACAGCTGGCTTCAACTCTCTCAGCTCCACTTTCCTGAACTTCCTGTCCAGTACAAGGTTCCATGGGACAGAGCACTCTCTAGCAGAGAAAGGAAGATGGAGGAGTGGGGAGCAAAAAGCAAGGGAATGACTTGCCACACTGTGCCTGTGTGTTTGTGGAGACACACACAGCTTACTAACACACACAAGGGTTGCTTCATAAGACCCTGCAAGGGAAAAGAACCACCCTTAAACAGGATATCAGGGCCAGTACTCAGCGGATCACCTGATTCTGCAGGAAGCTAACACTTTTTAACTTTAAGAAGCAGCATCCGTTCTAAGTGACTTCATCAGCATTTGCAATAGCTTAAAAATCTTTTAACTTCAAATTACATTCTCTAGCTTTTCATTTAGAAACCTTAAAATGTATGGTAAAAGGTCATTTTGAATAAAAATGAAAGATATAAACGATTAAATTATAGAAATAGATATAACATTTATTATAAGAAAGGGAAAATAAAATTGGTTACTGATGCCCAGAGTCTCTTAACTGTGCTCTGTTGTTTTGTTACTTAGGGGTCTATTCACAAAGCTGCCGAAGGATCTGGCCGTAGCTTCGATCACGGCCATCCTTCTGCACTTCGGGTCAGCCGAACATGCTGAGCATGTTCGGCTGATCCGAAGCCACACGAAGCAAGCCGATGTTCGGCTCACTTCACTTCTGATCGGTCATTCACTCGGCTGCCCTCGGCAGCTTTGTGAATAGACCCCTTAGTCAAGTCACCTCCTCATGTCTTTATTGGCTATAGTATTCCATGCCTGTCAGTTAGGAATTGCTTCTTTTATCACTTGCAAATATATTTTTTGGCTGTAATGATTAATACAATATGAATGCATAGCATTAGTGTTAAAAGTTCTTAACTATTCCAAATATTTTAGCAAGGTTTTAAGAGTTGTGTGTAGTGCTAAGAAAAGCCAAGTAGCCCAGAGTGCTCTGAGATGCCGGAGGCTTCTTTTTTTTCTGCAGCAGGAGCTAAGCATAAGGAGACCACTCACTGATACCAAACACTTCAAAGGTGTTGGCAGAACTAACTACCTTGGTATTTGTTTGATTGAAATTATAGTCAGTTTTTTTTAATCACAACCATGAACAAATATTAAGATAGACTATGTTGTTAAAGGAGAACTATGAGGTGAGTGCTTTTCACTCACCTCATAGTTCTAGCCGACCTGTGACAATGAAACTGTCACAGGTCGGCTCAGTAGATCGGGAGGTGAGCGAACAGATACCGGCGTTCGCTCACCTCTCGATCCTGTCACGGCCCTCTGCCGTGACAGGGGAGGGGCTGGATTCCCCGCTCCGTTCCGCCAGCGCTGACTGGCGGAACGGACGGGGGAGGGGGCGGGTACAGCTGGCTCTTCCTCTAGATAGGCAGAGCCAGCTGTCAGTTACGCCACTGGGCGGATCAAGACATAATTGTCGGGATCCGCTTTAGCTGCGGCGTCTTAGTATACCTCGAGCAGCAGCTCGCGGTATACGGCGGCGTCTCAGTTACCCTAAGGAGAACTATGGGGAAAAGCCTTAACCCCATGGTTCTCCTTTAATAACAAAAAAATACTATATCATGATGCATTTATTAAACAAGAACTAAAATTCAAAGGAATAAAAATTGATTTAAAGTTATCAGTTTTTTAAAAATAAACAATCCGAGGATACCCTACTGACCAGTATCACTTTTAATCCCAACCAAAAACCACACCGCTGTTTGTGGCCACACCCACAAATTCACACCCCTATACTTAACACATTCTCAATGCTCAAATAATTTCTCACAGGCTTTTGGAACCGGAGGCAGACATTCAAGATATAAAGACAAAATAAAAAGATTTCAAATATGAGGCACAAAGATATGCATGAGAGCATCATGTATATGCCCAAGAAGTAATGAAAGTAGAGTAATTCACTTGAAATGACATGCAGTACCGTGTTTTCACAGAAACATGAAACAAACTGAACAATAAACCAGTACATTACAATATACTGAAAACAACGGAAATAGTTTGGCCTACATTATACAATATGAGAGAGAGATAGAAAGTAAAGCTATAAAAAGACTGCTGGACTTCTTCCTAAGACAGTTGATTTGGCACACTCCAAATGATTTCATCTGGTGAGGCCAATACATAGGAGGAAAACAAGGCCAGAAATATATATAAAAAAAAATATATATATATATAGATATATACGGTATATTGCTTCATCATAACAACATGACTGTGCAAAAATGTATGAATCATACTAGGAATGGAAAAAATTTAAGCTGAAAGATAGTTCTAGAATAATTTATGTACCCATATTAAACATTAATACAAGTCGGGAAGCCTTTTTTTTTGTGCAGAGGTGAAACTTAATTTTTAAATTATGGCACACTAGCTACCTGTTGATTAGCTTTATTCTAGTGGCATACTTGGATTTGTCATCTGCAGCTCATTTCCCATCTAGCTAAATCCCTGTAGTTTTTGCTATTCTTTTTATTTTAATTTCCCTGAATATGAAACTGAAAAAAATGTAGATTAAGTGTTTCAAGGTTCCTAGCACTTCCCTCTCTCTGAATGCACTATGATTTTATACTCATATATTGAGCATGATGCGAGGGGCACATTGTAAAATCATATGACAAGCAGCTGAGTCTCCTTCAGAAGAACATTTTGCTGCAAAGGCTTATAGTATGTATAACTTAGATCAAAGTAACTCTGTCAATAAAATGAAACATCCAAAAAATGTTTTCCTGCAAAGAAGATAGTAAATACCTCTACCCCTGCCTGTGCCACTATTTATTGCATTATAAAAAACCCAAACTGAAAACGCTTCCAAAATCAATACTTCCTAGTCCTCTGCTGCGCTGAGTGGTTCAATACACCTATTTCTATGTCACCATTGTGTCCTGTAGCGGCATAAGGGCTAGCAGGAGCTCAGCAAAGAACCAGGAAATGGACAAACCTGAAAGTGTTGGAATAGTCTTTAGCTGGATTTTTTTCTTCTTATATACAGCTTAGATGTGTGGCTCAGGTAGCAGGAGATGTAATCCATTTACTATCATTTACTATGTATTAAGTTAACTTTTGCACAGAACAGTTCTAATGGTTACTGGTTACTGTATAGTACTAGAAGTTAGATGATTGATTTAACTGTTATGTGGAATTGCTCTTTAAATTCAGCATTTAGGTTTACTGTCTTCACACGTTTTTCATATATTAGAATGTGCTCCAATATCTTTATTTCATATATAAAACAGGCTTTGTTTAGGACAGTGGCCATGATGGTTCCTGATTATGCCATGATAGCTGAGATAGTGCTATACTCCTGTGGATTTGTCACAGCAAGGCCTCTGTCGGTGAAAATTGTGGCAACATATCGTCTGTGCTCTGAGCAGTTATCATCCCAACATCACTACGACTATGGAATGAGAGCAGTGAAATCAGTGCTGACTGCGGCAGGAAATTTGAAGGTACAAACAAACATTCTAAAAGTACTTGTTGTTGCAGATGGATGGTAAAAGTACCGTTTTTTTTTTTTCTACCGTGTATATCTACAAAGGAAAAAAAATCAAAATCCAGTTTAATTATTTTTTTACTTTTCAAGCTTTTTCTGTGGTTTGTACATGTATCTGTTGTTCAGCAGTTATTAAAATTACATTTCAGTACAGTATGGATTTGTAGGCACCCAGGTAAAGTCTTTAAAGCACTTTCCTTAGACCAGCTCTGAGAGTCCTCGTCATGGGTTCATTAAAGAAGTCCAGATTAAGCAAATTGCAATATGCATTGGAATGGCATGCTGTAATTATGTGCAAATATAATGTACTAATATTTTTTTTACCTCCTGAGGCCTACCCAATTCCTCAGTATGCCAAGTACTTGCCATGGCACACCTAACAATTACAATTATTAGTTATAGAGTATAAAACTCACTGCAGTGCCTCACGAGAGCAAGGAAGAGAGTTATGTAAATTCTGGCATCCTGAGCATCTTTCTGCTTTTAGTGCTGCTGATCATTTAGTAACTAAATGCACAACACCATCAAGTAGCTATGAAGGGATGCAGGGTTCCACTTATTTTTTTTATTTAGACCTGCCAGCACTTACCTGCAGAGGAGTAAAAGTAATCACAGAGGAATGTCAGAATTACATGTAGCTGTTAGAGCTATGCAGATTGAAAAACTGTTTTTGTTTGCACAGAGAGGGCTGTTGTTTTTTAAACTTGTGGTGGGATTTTGTCAGTGTGCCAGATTACATATAAACATTGCAAAAACTAGGCAAGTAATAGATTTAAATATATATAAATCAAGTACCACCTACTGAATAATAAACAAAAAACACAAAGAACTGTATCCACAGAGTGACAGTGTATCAATTTCCACATGTGACAATGTTACAAGCTTTCAACATAAAATTCCAAACAAAGTAAAATAAAAAAAAGTCTTTGCATAAACAACAGCATATCATCTATATTGATTTGTCTTGAATCACTGCTGTGTCTAGTTCAATCTAAACAGTGTGAATCCTGCAACCATTGCTTACAAAGTAACTCACCAGAGGATATTGACCTTATTGTAAAATTAAAGTCTGCAGCGCTTTTTATGACATTTCCATTTCCCTTGGTATTGCTTTCACACTTCTTCCTCTTCCAGGAAATATTCACAGACAGAAAAGTTCCAGATAGTATAATGCTGTTTTAAAACTGTATATTTATAACCAAATAGCAAAACACATTGCACTTACATGAATTAGTGCTATGAACTGCACTAGTTATAGCGTAGAAATCCCCTGCCTCTAATTAAGATAACAGGAATGGTGAATTTTTATTGTCCATTGAGGGATACAGGAGTAGTAGTAGTATACATTGACTAGTACGTTATATGCAGCTGCCTTCAGGAGGTGGACACTGGCAAACAAAAAAAGTCAAACACTAGCCCCCCTATAACCCTGGCCAGAGCTATGCTACTTCAGTTTTTTTGCTAGGGTCCTAGAAGGTAGGACACTGTTTCCTCAGCTCTGCTGAGGTAAACTTTTTACCTCTCATAAATGACTTTTCATCTATTTTTCGTGGTTGATTTTACTTCAGTCAAGATACAAATATGAGGTTGGAGTTAATCTTTCCACAACAGCTATCTGAAACGGCTAATCTTCTGCAAAGCCTTGGAGGTTGGACTGGACTTTGTTGAACCAATGATTGAGGAATCTGCCTGTAATGTGACCCTAGGGCTTTGAACTCTTGCTTGTGGTGCTCCCTAGATGCCTAGTGTACAGGTTTGTCAGCTCTGTCAGCGTGCTCTACAGGCCGAGAGCCATGTCACAACCTCAGGTTTGTACCAGTTTCTGAACACTCCATTGTGAGTAATGCCCACAGGGGCTAAGACTGGAATCACATTGATGTTATACGCAGAATAAACCTACAATGTTCATATGAGCGGATGCTTGCTTTAAAAAAATAAAAAGTTTCATGCTTTTTACAAAGTCTGGGTGGGAGGCTGGATTTCGGCACCCTCTATAGAAATCATGAGTGAGAAAATCTGTTACTCAACTTCATGAGTGAAATGACTGGTTTCTTCTTAGTACTCTTAGTACAATATCTATAGTTGTGTCTTTCTTTTTTCTTCTTCTTTGTTTTCTTTATTATTGTTTCCTTATTCGGTTGTAAAACCTTTACCCCACGAAATTATATGGATTGTTTAACCCCTTAGTGACACAGCTTCAAAATTTCTTTTTGCTTCTGGGGACCAGAGCAATTTTGCCATTTTTGCTATGCATTACACCGACACATATTGTATACCATTTTTTAAAGGACAAAATGAGCTTTAATTTGATGTGACACATGCATATATAAATTCTTATTTTTTTATGAAAAAAACCCCAAAGTTTTTACAGCGTTGGCAATAATAATGTGTACATAATTAGTGTAGTTAACAGAAAGTAATTCATAATAAATTATTTTATTTGTCTAATTAATAGGGTATATCATATGTCTGGGATTTCACTTTATTTTGGGACTTATAGGTCACAAAATACAAGGAGTAAAATACAATTTTACTATGGAACAGTTTTAGAATGTGGTATGTTTTCCCCCTGTCTTTAAAAGCCTCCTCAGCACTATATTTTTTTATAGGTTTTTTTGAAATATATTTGTTTTTACTTTTTTTACTTTTAAAACCTTTTTCCTTTTTAAAATGTTTTTACATTTTAAATACTTTATTTTTTTATCTTTACTTTTTTTAAACTACAGGGGCACTAAGGGGTTATTTTTTAATATACAGGGGCTTTGATATTTAGTATTTCTGAGGAGAATACAGTATTCTCTTAAGAGATCATTTGTATCAGTTTTATAACACACAGTTGGGGCTAGCAGATTCACATACAGTGAACAACCGGCGGTGTGACTGTCATGGCTCTGCGATTACAGCGATCAGCTCTTGCTGTGATCACAGGACTGTAACCACCTTATCAGCTGTTGAGTGTCTGCCTTGGACCCCAAAAGAACACATCAACAGCAGTAACTCAATTAGCTGATGTTCCCTTCATGGATGGATTTATCCCAGCACAGGTTGTTGCTGAGGTCTGACCAAGGTCAGCCATGTCAACAGATCTTCTGCATTATAGTAGGCATCCAAAACGATCATCAGCAGGAGGATTGACCATGCCACTGCCTGCCTGGGAGAGGAAGACTTGTAAAAGGAATTTCGAAGGAATTGGAAATGTCATAAAAAGTGCTGCAGAGCTTAATTTTGCTATATGGTCAATATTCTCTGATGATTTAGGTTGCAAGCACTGTTGAAGGATCTACACTGTTTGGATTGAAGCAGACACAACAGTGATTCAAGATTAATCATTATAGAAGATACACTGTTGTTTATGCAAATACTTTTTTGTTTTACTTTGTTTACACTTTTATATTGCAAAATTGCAACATTTTCACATTTGGAAAATGTTTTACTCTGTGGATACAGTTCTTTGTGGTAATTAATTTTTTATTCTTGATGGGTGTTTTATTTGCACTTTAAAATGAGCAGCACCTGATATTTTAGTTTTTTTATTACACTTGTTTACAGATAGCAGGAACGTTTCACTATATTATTTAAAGTAACAGGTTCACTTGATATAAACAGCATGAGAAATTTACACTAATTTCCTCAAGGTCCTGCTTTTCCCCTTTCCAGCAGCAGAACTCATCAAAAACCCAGTATACTGTATCTAGAAATGGGTTATCACATAACAGGTTTGGGGGGTACAGATGTACAAAGTCGACCTTAGTAAAGTCAAAACTGCCACATGAATTTGTGTGGGTTTCTAATGATGCAACAGGGAAATGTGGGAATAGGAAGTAAAGATTCACTGGATGTAGAAACATCATAGATTTAGAAAGTAAATGTAGACTAGTGTCTTTTTTAAGACTGCAGTGAGTTGTTACTTGCCTTTTAGCTAGTTTCCTGTGGAAAGAAGAAATGCAGTGTCACATACACAAAATATTTACATCTTTTCCTCTGTAGAGTTTTCTCTTGTGTACCCATAATTACAATCTCCTAATTTGAAAATGTATTTTTTGTATATGTATATGTAATTTATAACTTTATTTGTAAATATACTGTATACTTTTTTTTCTATGCACAGCTTAAATACCCCTCTGAAAATGAACAGATTTTGCTGTTGAGATCCATTATTGACGTAAACCTTCCAAAGTTTTTGTCTCATGATCTCCCCCTTTTTGAGGTAAGACATTTCATGTTGATTCATCAAGTAGTATTTCTCTCAGTATCTCCATGTGTTGCCCAAAAGAACACATGGCTTTAAAGGTTTGAAATGTGTTAGTGTGTTCCAGAGACGAGCGGTCAGGGCAGGCAGCTGAGGCAGAGCCTCAACGAGTATTAAGGAGGAAAAAGCTGTCAGATTCTAGTCTGAAGCTGACAGCATTTTCTCCATTCAGAGCGGCTTGTTACAGGTTACACAGCAGGGAAAGCCTCCCCACTGTGTAACCTGTCATGGATGGAGCGCTGCCTGTTAATTACAGGCAGCGCCGCATCCGGCTTTTGACAGGTAGGTTACACAGCGGCGGGCTTCCCCACTACTTGTGTAACATAACTTAGTGAGACAAGAGCTGTCACAACCTCTACTCTGTGTTACAGGCGTGAGCTCTGTGGATGGCTTATACCAATGGCATGGTGCCAGTGGTCCAAGCTGTCCAATCAAACAAAACAAAAAAAAAACAGTGAGGACATCGATCTCAATGCCTCACCAGTGACTGCAACTGATGGACAAGGAGGCATCTCCCTGTCTCCTCCCTTCCTAATCCCCACACAGCTTGGTTACCGAGCTGGAGTGGAGCTTCAGTGGGATGGGGCGGAGCTTCGGTGGGACAGGGCAGAGCTTCAGCGGGCTGTGGGGTGCCTTACCCAGCACAGAAGGCACAACACATCACTGGTGTGTTCTAATTAGCCATTTGGTTTTGTTTATAAACCAATCTGTCTATGAATACATCTATCTTTTTAGAGTATACTTTAGAAAGCAGGACCATGGTGAAAATCAATGTATTGTATTATTGTAATTGTAATAAAAAAAGGATAAAACATTCCAATGTTTTAATAATCCTCAGTCTTCTATGAAATGAGGAGAAAATAGATGATATAGGAAAGGTGCACGGTTTCTGTTGTATCTGTGTATGATAAACTTATCAACCATTTTAAATGTCTAACAGTAAAATATTTGCTTGAGCAAATACAACAAAATGATTGCTACTGTCTTTATTAAAAAAAAACCTCCTATGTATGCTTTTTACAAAACTACTTTTCTTTATTAATAGTATACTATTTTATTAATGTCAGCAATTTGAAATTCATCTGTTGATTGTGACTTGCCATACTAAGCTCCTGAGTGAGGTATACATAGTTAGGCTGGATACACAAAATATTCTGCTAAACACAGATCAGGTTAAATCAAGCTGATGAGGTTGGAATGCATAAACAGTACTTAGCCAGAGACTGAAAAACCTCTAAAAACTTCTAATTAAGGTCATGTCATCAAATTGTCATGTCATAAAACCTCTTTCAGAGCCCTCAACAGGCTCTTATGTATCCTGGACATAATTGTCTATCATATTACCATTACCAGCAATGCACATTTGAAGTTTGGTTTTACCTAACCTGAAACTGCCTTTTAATACATTTCCCGCTGTCAAATTCTACACCTATTCCACAATTCTGGTTATGATAAAATTACATTCATTAAAAGTGTCTACCTGAGTGGATAACTAAATAATGATTAGTTAGATACCAAACACTCCTATATTACAAGGTGCATACAGCTGATGGGACACATTAACCCTTCTGAGATAGCCCTACAAAAGATCCATATCAAATCTGAGGTATATCTAATCGTAATTAATCCTGTGCAGTAATATGTTGCTTGTTGGACTGTAAAATATGGTCATCTGAAAATACTGATACTTTTAGAAAATCTGGCCTTGAGGGAGTGTCCGCTGAAATATCATAAACACTTCGACACCGCTCAGACCCTTTGGTTATGTCTATGTTTCTTGAAACACCCTCTAAAAGGTCAACAAAAAAATATTTCAATTTACCATTAAAATTAGGAAGGATTTCTAAGGGTCATTCATGAAAGCTGATGACCTTAATACATCAGACTGAGCTTACTCTGCATTAGTTTGGATTCTGCTGAAACTAAAAAAACAGGCAAACTTTGCTAAGTGTTTTCTACTTTTGCTCCCATTTGTTTTATTTTTTCGTTTTGTCTGTTTGGTAATATTCTTTTTCTTTAAATATGTTTTTTCTCTTTCTTTTCATTAAATGATACTTTAAAATCAGCAAGGTAATGCTCTAAATGCTTCTCAGAAATTAAAGGATCCCTGTGAATAATGTGTATTTCTGTTGAAGCACGTGTCAGCAGCTACTGTTTTTGTGTGTAAAAGGTTAACTGCTCCAGTAACAATCACTGTTTGCCAGTGTTTAGACTATTGTCCCGCAGGCTATGAAATGCAGGGGGAAGCTGCGATACAACACAACAGTGTTGGGATTTGAGATTGTGGTTGTCACAATCAGGGATATTGCCAGGGAGACAAAGGTTCTTGAAAAAAGGTAAAATGTCAGTATACATTTTGCTGTAGGGATATGGATTTATAAAGTATTTATGAAGGTATTTCATCAGGTATCCCTTGGGGTGCGGGGCTGTGACAAAAGTTGTGTAAATGTTCAGATTGAAGGTTGGTGAAGACAAGTAGGTTTATTAGAGTTTCAGTGGAGGAAAGTTGTAACCTCGTAATTAAGGTAAGGTAAAATTCTGGGTTGTCAATGTTTGGAGTGAGAGGGCTATATAACATAGAGAGGTTATACTTATTCATTGTGCACAGATGTATAAAGTACCTCAAGCCAAAACAAATAAACACCAGCTGCAAGCACGTAAACAAGAAACCCCTTCAGAGGTAACTTTCAAACAGATACAAATATATTATAAATTGTGCCACTCTCAGAATAAATACAAATAAAATAGTACAACAATATGTAAATACAACACTAAAACAATAATTAACCGCCTCCCTATATCTGAGTGGGCCACTCCCACTTGCGTGCGCAGCGCGAGCGGGAACCTACCCAAATTTAAAAACAGGCAGCGATGCCTGTTTACATACAAGCGATCCGCAATATTACATCACTTCCGCATTCTTGTGTCACTCTCCAGCTTCAGACGCTGGGGAGCAGTTGATGAAGCAGATCAAGATAAAGTGACACTTTATTGCCCTGATGAAGGGACCCTATGTGGCCCCGAAACCTTGGCTATTTGTGATATATGTGATGATTTATCATGGACATATGGACATTATGATTTGAACGACATCTTCTGAGTGCTGCTGATCCTCACTTTCTTCTGATTGATGCACACTGCGCCATCCGTGGTTATCACTTCGAGCACCACCATTGTGATTTGGTCTGAGACACTGCAAGGAGTGCAGGGGGACATACTGTTATACTACGCTCTTTCCATTGTAAGACATTGTTTACGGTCTTTCCCCCATGAACCATTCTAGAATGTGTGTAAGTATAGTGGCATTATAGTACGGTTCAATGTCAGGTAAACCAATACCACTTTGATCATTTTTCTTGATGACGATAGAGTAAGGGGGCCTTGGCTTCCTTCCTCTTCATATGAATCTTGTGAGAGCGGATTTTAGGCAAAAGAAAAAGTGTTGGGGGTAGGGACATCACGTTAATAAATTCATTATTATCAAACCATGTATGGTGGAGAGTCAACCAAGGTTGAAGTTTAGCAGAAATATTAGGGAGTAAGGGCTTGTAATTAAGGTTATATAGTTTATTGAGGTTGGGTGAAATATGCCACCAAGTTGTTTTTAATGAGTGGTTTGACAATTGAAGAAGTGTTTTGCATATGAAGTTGTTCTGTGTGAGATATTGTTATGTTAAGAGCTTCAGGAACTGCGAAGAATGTTATATAGTGATGCATAAAATTGCTGGAATTCCACAGTTTCGTCTCATGCATTACTCCTTTAGTTGAGTGGTTAAGTCTCGGGGTGTATGTGGATGACCTCTCTTGTCCCACTGGCTAATATTTTACTACTCTTGTTCCCATATTAATAAATGCTGCTTTTGACTTTATCCCTGTGAGAGAGGCGTAAGGAGTCCAGCAGTTGTCTTATCTGTGATCCTATTCCGAGTTTCTGCATAAGTTTGAGAGGGTAGACAAAAACCTAGTTAGGTCGGCGCTCCTCTCTTTTTTTTAGGTGCGTACCGTATTTTATGAAAATACCTCTTGTAACAGCTTAAAAAACTTCTCACTTTATGTGATTCGAGAAAAGTTGGTAAGTTTAGAGTAGATACTTGCCATATATGCTACATCTAGAAGCAGGTATTCATTAAGTCAGGTGTATGGAGTCTTTAGGGTGGTCAGTAAGGTCAGACTAAGAAAAATTGGGGAATGACAGAAGAATTGTGTACTAAAGAGTAATATGAGCACAAGGGTGTCGTACATGCCAAACATTTATAAATTATAAAAAATGAAGTCATTTCTTCAGCTTGTTTAAGGCTGAAAAGGAAATCGGAGAGAAGCAGAGGTCCTAGGAGCAAATTGAGATTGAGTATTAAAATGCCCTTAGTAAACTCAGATAAGCAAGACAGAATTTATTTAAGAGTGGGAATTAGATGCTGAATAGGGTGGTAAATATTAGCTAGGGTAAATGTCATGTGTAAGATGGAACAGTTTAGAAAGACTTAAGTATTTAGGCATTCTGTTATAATTTCACAAGGGAAAGAGGTGTGGAAGTCAGTAGCAACCCCTTTAGTCTTTTGCAGAGGGTTGGAACTAAGAGCTCATTTAGTATAAGGTCTCGTTGACACCTAGGCGTATTGCATATGAGCGTCTGTCGCGCGACCGTCGGTAAAAAAGTCGCGCGACAAACGCGCGTTTCCGAAGGCTACTTGGCTGTATCCCAATGGAAACGAGCAACAAAACGGCCCAAAGTACATGTACCTTTTAAGGCGTGGGCCGTTTTGTAGCGCGTTAGGGACGGGCGGAAATACGCCAAGGTGGGAACGAGACCATTGAATACAATGGGATTTATATTTTTTAGCGTTTTGTAGAGCGTTCGTCGAGCGTAGAACACGCTACAAAACGTTCAGGTGTGAACGAGGGCTCATACTGGATGTGCAGCAGAGGTGCCTTGTCAGCCAAGGAGTGAGTTCCCTGAA